TACCGTCGCCGCCCGCGCCAGTGAGGCGCCGGCGAAAACTATTGCGACTTCGCACGCTCCCGTCAGTCGTGCCGGAACTGTGCCATGCCGAGCTCGCGCGCCAGCCTCTGCCGCCTTCCTGCGACGTTCAGCGCGGGCGCCTAGCGCCCGGAGGCGCGCGGCCAGGTCCGCTGGCGACCCCAGTCGAGGCCCGGATCGCGCACCATGAGCAGTTTATTCGACGTCGTCGCCCTCGAGCGAAAGTGGCGACAGTTTCACACTTCGCAGCCCCCAGGGTGCCGCGAGGTCTCAACTGGGCCCCCGCGAAACTCCATTCCGCGCGGCCTCCCAGGAGCCCGCGACAGGGGTGACAGGGAGCCGCTAGGTTTCAATTGGGTCCCCGTAGAATTCCATTCCGCGCGACCTTTCAGGAACCCACGGGAATGGTGACAGTTTCGCATTGCGCAACCCCCAGGGATCCGAGGTGTCAATTAGGCCCCCGTGCGACTCCACTCCGCGTGACCTCCCAGGAACTCACGAGAGTGTCATCAGTTTCACACCCCGCAGCCCCCGAGGGAGCCGCGAGGTCGCAATTCGGTTCCCATGCATGTCCAATCCGACCTCCCGAGAGCCAGCGAAAATGATGACAATATTATATTTCGCTACCCTTCGCAGAACCGCGAGGTCTCAATTGGGCCCCTGTACAATTCCACCCCGCGCGACCTCCCAGGAACCCACGAACGTGGCGACAGCTTCACATTTCGCAGCCCCCCAGGGAGCCGCTAGGTCTCAACTGGGTCCCCGTGCAAGTGTATTCCGCGCGACCTCCCAGGAACCCACGCGGCGACAGTTTCACATTTCGCAGCCCCCGCAGGGAGCCGCGAGGTGTCAACTGGGTCCGAACAACTCCACTCCGCGCGACCTCTCACGAGCCGACGAATGTGGCGCCAGTTTCATGGTTTGCAGCCTTCTGGAAAGCTGTGAGGCGTCAAGGAGACCCCCCCCGTGCAAATCCATTCCGCGCGACCTCGTGGGGAACCGCGAGGCTTGCGACGATTTCGCGCTTCGCAGCTCCCGCGGGGGCCGCGAGGTGTCAACTGGGTCACCGGGCCATATTCAGCGTGATTTCCCAGGAGCCCACGTAAGTGGTGACAGTTTCACACTTCGCAGCCCCCCAGGGAGGCAGGAGGGGGAACAGGAAAAGGAGGCAAGAGGAGGCGATGAAATGAGGCAATCACTAAGTGATGGGTTTGACGGTTGCAACAGCAGCGGCGGCAGCAGGCGGGGTCGATGGAGGGGGCGGGGGCGGTCCTCGAACTCGATGAACGGGCGCGCGCGGGGCGGCCGCGCGCGCCGCTCGCTCCGTCCAAGACCACCACCCGACACCATAACCTCTCCCTCTCTCTCTTGACCTTTTCCGCTTTGCTTAAAGCCTTAGGCCGCTGCCCAGCTGAAATGTAATCCGTAAGGGCTTCGCCCCCTGCCGCCGGCCCCCTCTCTCGGAGAATGGGCCATGGAAGAGCTAAGTCATGAGGCCTTGGCGCTGTCGTGAAGCAGTATCGAAACTTCATGCGAAGCCGAGTCGCAATCAGCAAAACCAACTGATCACAAGAGGGGTTACCACACCTGGCGATTGGTAAGACGTGTATGGTTTAAGGGCTTGGTTACCACACCTTGCGATGAAAGGGCCGAGGGAGTTCTCGCAGTTTGGGTTACCACGCCTTGCGATGGATGTGCGTGATGGGTTCGAATTTCAGAAATGTGGCAAATCCCCTGTGTTTTTGGACCCTGACCCCGCGGATCTGCGTGAGGGGTGGCACCGAATTTCAGAAATGTGGCAAATCCCCTGTGTTTTTGGACCCTGACCCCGCGGATCTGCGTGAGGGGTGGCACCGAATTTCAGAAATGTGGCAAATCCCTGTGTTTTTGGACCCTGACCCCGCGGATCTGCGTGAGGGGTGGCACCGAATTTCAGAAATGTGGCAAATCCCTGTGTTTTTGGACCCTGACCCCGCGGATCTGCGTGAGGGGTGGCACCGAATTTCAGAAATGTGGCAAATCCCATGTGTTTTTGGACCCTGACCCCGCGGATCTGCGTGAGGGGTGGCACCGAATTTCAGAAATGTGGCAAATCCCTGTGTTTTTGGACCCTGACCCCGCGGATCTGCGTGAGGGGTGGCACCGAATTTCAGAAATGTGGCAAATCCCCTGTGTTTTTGGACCCTGACCCCGCGGATCTGCGTGAGGGGTGGCACCGAATTTCAGAAATGTGGCAAATCCCATGTGTTTTTGGACCCTGACCCCGCGGATCTGCGTGAGGGGTGGCACCGAATTTCAGAAATGTGGCAAATCCCATGTGTTTTTGGACCCTGACCCCGCGGATCTGCGTGAGGGGTGTCGATTTCGAGCCCCCCCAGCAATTCAGACAACGCGCCCAGGGGACGCTGGAAAATCCTGTTTGGGCCTCCCCCCCCCCTCGCGCGGTCAATCAACTAGTTACAGTAACCAGCAAGAAGTCAACTAGTTACAGTAACCAGCAAGAAGCAGAACTGTAACACTGGAAACTAGAAACTACAACTGGTACAGGAAACTGCGAATCACGCGCCTACAGCCTGGTGGCCCCACAAGGGGGCCGGCGGATTAAATTTGGGCATTGTTGACGCGTTGGGTTAGTCCTACCTTGGCACAGGCTCTTGAGGTCATCACTTAGCTGTCGCTGAGCGAAACACCCGCAAGACAAGCATAACCAAACGTTGATCCCCGAATGGTACCGCAGACTGTGACTATTGTGGACCCACCCCCAGCTATACGTTGACGAGTACCCTTGGGGAGAGCAAAGAACCTACCCCCGAGCGAATTTAGACGAAAACACGGGCTGTTCATCCACTCTGTTAATGCGGCTAGAGTGGCGGAGCCTCTACACACAGAGCAGCTCTTCCCGTCTTCGGACAAGACGTGGGAAGAGTTAAACATTGAACATTGGAGGGGCCTCGGAGGCTTGGAGATGTCACTACGCTTTGAACGTCGGCCCAAAAGGCCGAGTTCCCTCTCCTTGTCTATTGCATCAATATTGGCCTTCAGGAGACGATGCCGAATTTAAAACGCCTTCTGCCCAATACTGTTCACACGATGTCTCACTTGCTCACGCAGTCGGGCGTTAGCTGCGGCGCCCTCGGCAACTGCGTCAGCAGCACGATTGCCTAAGATGAGCCACTCTGGGTATCTGCCTCTGAGAACAGCCTCTCCATCCAGGTGGGAATTCACAAACAGCACAATTACCTGATATCGAACTCGCTTGTCCATTTCTCTGCCGATCCTGGTCCAGATGTCCGCTTTTGAGCCTGTCGGTGGTAAAACATATCCTGACACCATCCATTCACAACTGCGAAGTTGTCCGAGACGGACACAATGAACCTCGAGCTGAGCTGCAGTGCGAGCAGCAGTGCCATGCGCTCTCCCCTGCCCACCACTTGGCGGTGTCCTGGCAGATGACCTTGAAGTGTTGCACGGACTTCGAGGTCTGAGAATTTTACTGGATCGTCGACGAACACGAGACCAACTCCAACCCGGCGCAGGTGAGGGTCGGATGAGTCTTTGCTTCCGTTGGCGTCTCCAAAAACATGTAGCGGAGCGTCTCAAGTGCCTTCGCCAACAACGCCTAGCTAAAACTCGTTCCATTCCCCTGCCGCGTCCCAGCATTCCATCAGGGGGGGAGATGGCACAGCTACCCACGATTTCGGAATTAGCCCACGGAGCCAGAAACACTCTGCTGATTCCCCCTGCGCGTAGGCTTCAGGAATTGAATGCTCTGTCTTCTCGTAGGCCAACGAACCTGTGTTGCGATCACAACTCCACTCTCGGTGGAATGGGGTTTCCACGGCCATATTACACCGTGGACACATATCTGGAACACAACCTGGCTCATGGGCAACCCGCCGTGATCTGGGCCACGTGGCTCCCACTGCGATTGCCGTCATCATTTCGGAAAGTCAGTGCCCTGTGTCTCTCTGCTGCTTCAGAAGACGTACATCGGATCGCATGTCTACTCCACCCTCTCTTTAGTCACCGCAGCTGGCAACCACAAAAGCTTGCGCGTGTGCGATGGACCTCAAGCGCCTCGGGACGGCAAGAGAGCGGCTCAGGCGAAATGCTTGAGCCCAAGTGGCTTGAGAGGCAAGAGGGGGAGGAGGAAGGAAGGCTGGAGACCGCAGTGTTCCGTTCAAAACGAGAACCCAACACAGGAGGGGTGGGACAAATGCCGCAGGTCAATTTACCACCCCGAGCGAACTCCAACATCGGCCTTCCAGCTCCCACGAACAAAATGTGATGCGAGTTTCTTAAGCGCGGCTAGAAGCTAATTAGGCGCGCGCGCGAAGCGAGTTTCGTCGACAAAACAGAACAACATCATAACGGCGTCGGGCGCGTGAATGAGGTGGGGGAGGAGAGGGGAAGCGGTGGGGGAGGAGGGGGAGGAGGAGGATGTTGACTCCTGAAATCTTTAGTTGAGCCCCCAGAGGGTGCGGAGCCTTCGTGGCCAAACCCGAAATTTGCCAGGACTGTGTCCAAGAGTGTGCCAGAGACTGATTCTGAGGAGGCGGAGGTGGCGGGAGGCAGCAGGAACGGCATGATCACGAGAAGGAGCAGGAGCAGGAGCATAAGGTGGAGCAGGAAACTTGAGGCTTTGGAGGGCTGAGGTTGTCCAGTGGTCCAGAGGGGCGGAAAAAGGGGGTTATGCGAGGTTCTGGGAAAGGAGCGGAAGGAAGCGGTGGAGGAGTAGGAAGAGGAGGGGACGAGGAGGACGAGGAGGAGGAGGAGGGGGAGGAAAAGGAGGAGGAGAGCGAGGAGGAGAAAGAAGGCGGCATATTCTACAGCGGCGTGGGCCGTCCGGGGAGGCACAGGGAGTTCCAGATGGCCCTGGGGGGGGAGGGTGGAGGGCGGCGGGGAAGCAGAGGCACACCAGGTGGAAACGGGGGGAGTCAGAGGGAGGCGCGGGGGCGAGGACGCGAGGATGTTGGCGCGAGGTCCTGAGCCGCGAGGACGGCCCCCAGCCGCAGAGGCAGAGCCTGGTGCAGATCGGGGCCGTCCCCGTCGCCCGCACGGCGCCGCAGGCCGGGAGATCCGCTCTTCGGCCCTCCCCTCGGGAGCGACGCTGGGGGAGGAGAGGCTCACGAGGGCAGCGCAGCTTCGAGGTCCGAGGTGTTCGGGCGTCGTCGCCATTCCTCGGCGGCTTTCCGGCCTCGGGATGCCTGCCATCAGGTGCGCCTCGCCGAGAGCGTTCCCGGGGCGTTGGGATCGTCCAGAGTGGCCGCCAGAGAGTCGAGTTACGTCACCACCCACCAAACCAGCCCAACCCAACCCGAAGGCTGAAATTTCCCCTCGATTTCCAGTGGGGGAGGGGGCGTGAAACATCGGCAAAACACACGTGGAACCGATACCCCACCCACACGAAACTCGGGCCTTCGGGTTGGGTTGGGGTGGTCTGGTAGGTAGTCCTTCTGATCCGAGAACTGCTGGGCAACGATCGGGGTCGGGCTCGGAGGGGGGGGGGCGCGTCGACCCCCAAATCCCCGATGGATCACCGACAGGGCCCCCACAGCCGGGGGCCACAAGCGAACCCCACCCCCTGCCCCCCACGATTTCTGAGGGGGAGGGGGGAGGGGGGGGTTCACTTCGCTCGGGAGCTCCCGAGCGAAATGAACCCCACCCTCCCCCTCGGAAGTCGTAGGGGGCAGGGGGTAGGGTTCGCATGCGCCCCCCGAGGCCTATCCTCAAGTTCTCGGTGCAAGCCCGACGTGTCCCCCCCCGAGCTGGTCCCCCCCTGACGCTGGCCAGCCTTCATCCTGCCCCGATCGAGGATCGAAGGCCAGAGGGCTGATGGCCGAGGTTTTCAGGTGTTCCTCGGGCCCTTCGGCGAGGAAGCGCAGACGTGGAGGCCAGCGCGCGGGGTTAGCGGCGGGCCCCGCTTCCGCGTAGGAGCGACGCGGTCCGTCGCAAAAGCAGGCGGCAGTGGCCCGATATGTTTCGGGCCGCGGAGCGTGGGTTACGTCCGTGTCGCTTGTGGGCGTTCGCCGAGTCGTCCCTCCCCCTTGGAATGACATGGAGCTCTCGCGTAAGATCTTCCCTCCTCCTCCTCCTTTGCACTCTCCCCCTGCCATCCCTCCCCTCCCTCCCCTCCTTCCCGCCTCCTGGCCCCACCTCCCCGTCCCTCCTCCTCGTCCCATCCCCTCCTCCCCCCTTCCCTCTCGCGCCGCCCGCGCGCGTGCCCCATCGCGGGGGCGGGGGCTCCTCCTCGGACGAGCTCGTTTTGTTTTGACGGACTCTTGTCCCCCCATGGTTCTCCCCATTTCCCTCTGCGCAGGCTCCCCCTCTCTTCCCCGCCCCCCCTGCGAGGCCCAGCGCACCGACGCCCAACATTGGCGGCGGGGCGCCGAGCGGAGCCGCGCGGCCGGCTCCTCATGTTTCTGTTCCCCCTGGGCCTTCGTGCGGGGCCCCTCCCTAACCCTTGGTTCCTCCTCCTCATCCTCCCCCTCCTCCCCCTCCCCCCCTCCTCCTCCTCATCCTCCTTCTCCCCCTCCCCCTCCTCGTTCTCCTCCTCCTCCCCTCCTCCTCCTCCTCCTCCTCCTCCTCCTCCCCTCCTCCTCCTCCTCCTCCTCCTCCTCCTCCTCCTCCCCCTCCTCCCTCCTCCTCCTCCCCCCTCCTCCTCCTCCTCCTCCTCCTCCTCCTCCTCCTCCTCCTCCTCCTCCTCCTCCCTCCTCCTCCTCCTCCTCCTCCTCCCCTCCTCCTCCTCCTCCTCTCCCTCCTCCCCCTCCTCCACCTCCTCCTCCGCCGCCTCCTCCTCCTCCTTCTCCTCCTCCTCCTCCCCTCCGCCCTCCGCCCTCGCCCTCCAACCGGGTTTCCCCCCACCTCCCCTCCCCAGTGCCCCCCGCCGCCAAAGTGTTGGGCCAGTGTAGAGCGGAGCGATGACTTCTGTCCTGGATTCAACGCGTGTGCACTGCAGACTGCAGAATGCGCGCTGCTAGTGCGGCCCCCTGTGGGGCCTCTGAGGCAGATGGCTGCGGAGGTGGGGAAGCGCTGCTGCAGACCCTTCTCTCCCGCCTGTGCTGAATTATGTAGTCAATTATCTTGCCAGAGGCCGAACTCATACCGATCTTTGCATGATGCTCGAGGCAACGTCGACGGTAGCAAACGCGTGCGCCGTGGTCGGGCTGCCCTTCCACTTCCCGTGCTGCCCGTCGCCAGCCCAGGCATATGCATCGCCCAGGCCGTCGGTCTGGAGGGCAGAACTGGATAACACCGAAAGGACGGAGACGAAGGCCGACTGCAGATATTGCCAATGTTTAACAAGCTTCCCTGCGATCCGATGGCGCAAAACAACTTGATACATCGTAACAATCACGACCGTCGCCCAAGACCCCATTTTTCTGCTGCATATTTCCTAGCTTGATCCATATGTGAGGGCCCCAGGGCCCGAAACCGAGCGGACCCCCCCCCCCGAAGTTGCAACGCCAGGATCTCAGGGCTCGCTGTCGGGGTTGCCGCGGGAGGAGACATGTTTCTATCCGTTGGCGATCACAGGCGTGACCGAGGGAGGGGGAGGTGGGGGCAGAGGGGGCTGGTCATGTAACGATGCGCGCTGGCGCCGTCTGGAAATGCCTACAAATGGCTCGCTCCCAGACGGCGCCAGCGCGAATCGTCGACGTGACCAAGGGGGGGGAGGGGGGGGGGCGGTGCGAGTCACAGTCGCTGTCGCGAATTATGAAGAAAGGGCTTGAGTTGCCCATTTGAGACAGAAGGTTGTCAGCCCAACAGCGGCCGCTGTCTGTTTTTGACACCGTTCGCAGTTTGGGCGTCGTGCAAATTTTCTCTGTACTGGTGTTCGGCCTCCAAAATTGAGTCGGCTGGGTTGGACCCCCAGAGGCCCGTTCTGGGCCCCGGAATTTCGGACAACAAATAGCGCATGGCGGAAACATCCACACGGCGAATTGGTCGAGAGAGTTTTGGACCCCACGCATTTGTTGAAGGTACGCGTGCGTCAGAGTTGCCATTGATTTGCGTGTAGTTTGCCTTCAGCGCGGTGCTAGCTCGTTGGTGCCTCGCCTTCCAGGCTGCATGATTTAACGTATTGCCTTTTCGTTATTATTCTACGTGCTTCTCGCTTCCCTCGGTATCTTTCAGCCGTTGAGAGATCATCTTGAGTAGGGTCGCGCTGGGCTCACTGGAAGTACGGGTGCTGTTCTGGGAAAGGGAGGGGCGGGGGCAGCCAAGGAGTACAGTCGGGGCGCTGACGAAGTAACCCTTTCCGTTGGGGAGGGGCTCGGTGTTCCTTAATTGTTCCACACCTTGCCGAAGGTTTTTCTTGAGCTTTCGATGGGAAGTCGAAGGTTAACTTATGAAAAAAGGGGACTCGTTCCTTATTTAGGGTTCCTTAGGTCAGCGCCTCGACTGTACGGACCTCGAAGAGCGGCACCGCGCCCGGAGGGCAGCGCCTGCTGGGAGTTGGACACCCCGAGGGGAGAGTGGCACCCTCCAAGGCCGCACGGGCCTTGGAAGGTGGCACCCCGCCTCCGCCCCCCCGCGGAGGCACGGATTTGCAGGGGCACCGCCCGGTCAGGCTTCGGGCTGCGCGCCGACAGCCCCCCAGTTATCGGGGGCGGAAAAGGGGGGGGGTGATGACTAGGGGGGGGGTGGACATCATGGCGGCGGCCATGATATTTCCCCAGATTCCATGGCTCCTCTTCTTATTTCATTACGTCCCTGGCCCCCCCGCTGGGCCGCGCACATGCCGCTGGTCATGATTTGCACCCCCCCCCATCTTGGACACCCCCCTCTTGGCCGCTCCCGAAGTTAGTCCCGGCTTGCCTCATCGGGCCCCCGAGAAGGCCGGGGCAGTCTCACCATCTCAAATCTGGGGCGCGGAGGCCCCCCAGGGGCGCCGCCAGGGGCGGTGCCAGGGTCTGAAGACCGCCCCGGGCTCGGAGTTTTCGGTGGACCTGTGGAGGCCAGCCGGGGCTGTCGGGGGGGCGCTGTCCGTGCGCAGCCCGAAGCCTTAGCAGGCGGTCGCCCCTTCTGGGGCGACGTGGCGGAGGGAGTGGCGAGGACGAGAGAGGGATCGCAGGCCTAGAGATTGACACCAACACCAAGATCGGCGGTGTGTTTCCACCGGGGGAAGACGATCCCGATCTCGGTGACGGTGGTAATATTCTGGTTTCCAAGGTGACCGAAATATTACCACCAACACCGAAATCTAGGATCGTCTTCCCCATGCGGAGGCAACCCCCTGTGCTGGTGTTGGTGCCAATTTCCAGGCCTCCAAAGGGAGCCCTCAACCACGCTCACGCAGGCGCGCTCCCAGTACCTGCGGGGCAGCGCCCTCGAGCCGCTGGACATCAGGCCGCTGGGCGCGCCGGAGCGGGCGCCGCGCAAGCCGGCAGCCTCTGGCGTCAGGCGCCGTGGGAGGGCCAGTCTCTCGTTGCGGTGGTACAGCACGGTGCACGGTGGGTTTCAGCAGCGACCTCGCCGTGGAGGGATCGGGGAGCTGATCTCTCTCCTCGGCGGAAGGGCCGGCGGAGGTACACAGCGGAGGCGGTTCCGCCGGCGGAGGGCCGCGGAAGTGGAGTGGTCACATACGCGTCCCAAGATATGCCAACATGTACGTTTGTTGTTTACGTATACAAATGTGCATATTTATGTATGTACGTCTATGCTTCGGATTCCCTTCGGGGATCATCATCTAAACTTGGAACGATACAGAGAAGATTAGCATGGCCCCTGCGCAAGGATGACACGCACAAATCGAGAAGTGTGTATACACATATATATATATATATACATATATATATATATATATATTCCCAACCCTCCTTGGTTGGGTATTCGTTTTGAATAGAGCAGTGTGGTCGCGTCCTTCCTCCTCCCGCCTCCCGCCTCTTTCCTGCCTCTTTCTGTCTTGCCTGCGGGGGGCTGCGATCTGTGAAACTGTCGCCACTTTCGAGGCCTGCTGGGGGGCCAGCACAGAGGGTAACGCGGCGGATCCAAATTAGACCTCGCCATCCCTGGGGGGCTGCGATCTGTGAAACTGTCGCCACTTTCGAGGCCTGCTGGGGGGCTCAGCATAGAGGGTAATCGCGGCAGATTCAAATTAGACCTCGCCATCCCTGGGGGGCTGCGATCTGTGAAACTGTCGCCACTTTCGAGGCCTGCTGGGGGGTCCAGCATAGAGGGTAATCGCGGCAGATCAAATTAGACCTCGCCATCCCTGGGGGGCTGCGATCTGTGAAACTGTCGCCACTTTCGAGGCCTGCTGGGGGGTCCAGCATAGAGGGTAATCGCGGCAGATCCAAATTAGACCTCGCCATCCCTGGGGGGCTGCGATCTGTGAAACTGTCGCCATTTCGAGGCCTGCTGGGGGGCCCAGCACAGAGGGCCACGCGGCGGATCCAAATTAGACCTCGCCATCCCTGGGGGGCTGCGATCTGTGAAACTGTCGCCATTTCGAGGCCTGCTGGGGGGCCCAGCACAGTGAGGGCCACGCGCGGATTCAAATTAGACCTCGCCATCCCTGGGGGGCTGCGATCTGCGAAACTGTCGCCATTTTCGAGGCCTGCTGGGGGGCCCAGCACAGTGAGGGCCACGCGCGGATTCAAATTAGACCTCGCCATCCCTGGGGGGCTGCGATCTGCGAAACTGTCGCCATTTTCGAGGCCTGCTGGGGGGCCCAGCACAGTGAGGGCCACGCGCGGATTCAAATTAGACCTCGCCATCCCTGGGGGGCTGCGATCTGCGAAACTGTCGCCATTTTCGAGGCCGGCCTGCTGGGGGGCCCAGCACAGTGAGGGCCACGCGCGGATTCAAATTAGACCTCGCCATCCCTGGGGGGCTGCGATCTGCGAAACTGTCGCCATTTTCGAGGCCTGCTGGGGGGCCCAGCACAGTGAGGGCCACGCGCGGATTCAAATTAGACCTCGCCATCCCTGGGGGGCTGCGATCTGCGAAACTGTCGCCATTTTCGAGGCCTGCTGGGGGGCCCAGCACAGTGAGGGCCACGCGCGGATTCAAATTAGACCTCGCCATCCCTGGGGGGCTGCGATCTGCGAAACTGCCGCCATTTTCGAGGCCTGCTGGGGGGCCCAGCACAGTGAGGGCCACGGGCAGATTCAAATGAGACCTCGCCATCCCTGCGGGGCTGCGATCTGTGAACCTGTCGCCACTTTCGAGGCCTGCTGTGATCCCCGTTTTCGAAGTGGCTAGGAGTGCTCAGGAATTGTAAATCATCAGCTTTATCAAGCCCTTTTCCTGTAGCCAGTGTCCTGCGAGTCTCCCGAATTCCGTCTGCAGACATATGTAACCCTCGCTCCGTCATCGCCCCCTTATAAAGTATCCTAAACTATTTGCGCCCCGCTTTTGCGCAGGGGTTGGGTACGTCGCCAGGGTAATTTATGGTGTGTATATATATATCTATATATATATATATATATATATATATATATATATGTGGACGGTCCGCCCCAGCGACCCCGCAAATCGCTCAAATCACGAGGCCGCAGACTCGGTTGTTTCATGCAGTTGCACGGTCGATTCGCTCACTTGATATGGTTTTTGCACAACTTACTCATTCGCATGTCACTGGCGAACGGCTTGCTACAGGCATCGGTTTTAAGGATTCTGTGTTCAAGGGATCTTCATTCCGGATTCTTGAGTAAAGATGGCCGTGCTAGAAGTTCTTTGCTACAAGAAGTCCTTACCTAGCATCCTTACTAAGGATCCCTTACGAATGGTCCCACACTAAGCGCATCCTGACGAAGGAGTCCTTACTAAAGGAACTCTTACAACAAACATTGCTCAGGACTCCTAACGAAATCTGGGGGCCCTCGGTGCCACGGAACGCTGCGTATGCTTGGTTGTGTGTTGTTTTTGGTTTGGGAAGCAGCGAATTGGTGAGTATGTTTGCTTGAGGGGGAGGCTCCACTGCTCACCCCGGCCTCCCCCCAGCACCCCTCTCTGAGCCTCGAAAACAACGTAATTTCGTTAATCCTCAGACCAAACAGGTAGAACAAGCAGGACAACAACAACGACAACAACAACAACATCAGCAATCATTCTACCTCCATGCGCGATGCTTCCACACGCAACATGCGACCGTCATGATAACCATCCCGATCATGGGGGATTATTGTTCTATCGCGGGGGTCCGTTATTCCCATTCCCAGATCTCCCGCCCAATGAGGTCTTGCAAACACCTCCTCCGAGGAATTTCGACATATCCCGCCTCGAAAACACATGCCCGCGCCCTGCTGTGCCGGTGCGAGACCGCCAGTGGAACCCCAGCCAGCACAATGAAGTATCGAGAGATAGGATTGGCTTGGTGGGGATGGGGCTGTCGGCGGCGAGGCAAGGACCTGGCCCTGAATAGAAAGGGAGGAAGTCTCGAGCAGGGGTGCTGTTGTTGCTGGGAGCGGCGCCAATGCAGAAGAGAGTAGGGCGCTAGTCCAGCGTGGAACAACACGAAGTCTCGAGCGGGAGCGCTGCTTCTGTTGGGACGCTGGTTGTAGGCGGTGAGGAGGAACACCGCCTTGAGTGAGAAGGGAAGACGTCTCGAACGGGAGCCGCGGTTTTGCTGGGAGGGGGGCCGTCGGCGGCGAGGAACAGCACCGTCTTCAGGAAAAAAGGGGGAAGTCTCCAGCGGGAGCGTTGTTCTTGCTGGGGCCAGCGCCAATTCAAGCGAGAGTCGGGCGCCAGTCCAGCGTAAAACGGGAGGAAGTCTCGGGCGGGGGCGCTGGTTTCGTTTGGGCGGCGGTTTTCTGCGGCGAGCAAAAGCACCGGCTCTGAGTAAAAAAGGAGGAAGTCTAGAGCGGGAGCGTTGTTTGTGTTGGGAGCGGCGCCAATGAGAGAAAGAGTAGCGCGCCAGTCCAAGGTAACATGGGAAGAAGTCTCGAGCGGGAGCGTTGGTTTTGTTGGGGCGGCAGTTTTCGGCGGCGAGCAAGAGCACCCCGGCTCTCGGTAAGAAGGAGGAAGACTCGAGTCGGAGCGTTGTTGTTGTCGTTGTTGCTGGGGGGCCGGTTTAGGCACCCCCAGAAACCGCTCGAGCGCGAGCCTCATTTTCAATGAAACTGTAGCCGGCGCAGAGGCGAAAGCGCCAGGGCGCCTGGGGGGGTCCAACAATGATAATTGTTTTCAGTTGTTAACATTCAAAAACAACAACCGCAGTAACAACAACAGCAACAGCTATGATCATCTTAAGACTGTTCGCTCTTATCTGCTCGCGGGCCATGCAAACAATATATCCCAAACCATCGAAACCCGCCCTCTTTGTTTTTGATCGTACCCCTTTGGGGGTATTCATCTTTCTTACCTGCAACGTGTATTTCGTGCAGCCTCGAAGGGGAAGGGACAACGGATGGAAGGACGGGACAAGGGGCAGGCGGGTTGCTAAACCGTGCGTCCTGAATGAATCGCGAGAAAGTCTCAAGCGATAGCGCGATTCCCAAATATATGGGGAGGCAATCCTCAGCGAGAGCGTGATTTCTGAGTGTCGAGGGCGAGATGTCTGAATAGTGTGATGAGGAAGTCCAGCGCGAGAGCGTGATTCTTGTATACACTGTGAGGAGCTCTCACGCAAGAGCGCGATTTGGGAATACATTGTGAGCAATATCAGACGGGAGCCGCTGGTGCTGTGAACCCAGGGCCAACAACCTAGTTTGGTGACACCCAGCTTTCCTTTGTAAAACCCAGGATGCGAGTCCCGGGAGAAACATTCGAATTGAAAAATACAATGGTCACCGGGCAGATGTAACCAACAACAATTTGTCTTTGGAAATTGATTTTCAACAGCACCGAACACACACACACAGCGTTTGGTACCGAGAGCCCCGTCTTTTAGTAAGGCAATGTTTGTGTTGTGTTGAGGATTTCGCCAGGATGCCTTACGCAAGAGTCCATACCAAGGTTTCCTTAGTTAAACATGCACCCTTACTGGAGCACCTTGCTACAAGAGGTCTTTACTCAGTGTCTCTTGCTAGAGGAACCTCTGCCAAGGATCATGTACAAAAGGCACCCTGACGAAGGAGTCCTTATTATAGAAACTATGGTTGAAAGGAAACACGCGATTGGGGGCTCCTTACTACAGCTGCGAGCCCTCGGTGCCACGAAACGCTGTATATTTCGTTGTTCTGGCAGAAGCGAACTATTTTTCATGTTTTGTTGTTGTTTTTCTGGGAGGGGGGCTCGGAGGCTCCGTTGCTCATCGCCGCCTCCCCTGGGCACTCCTCTTTGAGCTTCTAAGGTGGATTCACTCTGACGGTAGGACCCCACACGGGAATCGCCCTAAGTGTTTTTGAAGTAACCCTCATCGTCGTCCTCGTGATAGTGGAGATCCTTTTCCTGTCTCCTCCTGGCCCTTCTCGCTTTGGCGGAGGCCTTCCTCCCGCCCGTTGATCGGCATCCTCCTCTTCCTCCTCCTCTTCCTCCTTCTCCTCCTCCTCCTCATCCTCCCCTCCTCCTCCTCTTCCTCCTCCTCCTCATCATCATGTTCATCCCCCTTCCTCCTCATCTTACTCATCCTCCTCTTCCTCCTCCTCTTCCTCCTCCTCTTCCTCCTAATTATCCTCCTCCCCCTGCCCCTTCTCCTCGTGCACTTCCTCCCCGGCCCTTTTTGCACGGGCGCGCATGTCGATGTTCCTCGGCGCCGTCGCCGCCGCGGCTGGCAGGGGCGCGTCTTCCGACAGCGAGATCGCGAAGCCGTTGGGCTAACCTCGCGAGCCAGGTGATTAAGACAATGTTCCATTGGCCGCTGGGGCGCTAGATCAAGCCGTCGGCACAATCTCGGATCCCACAAACGACGACAGTAACAAGATTTGGATGGCCCGCCCAGATTGCTAACATGATCTGGCGGCCCCATAGGGAGGGCGCTCCCGCTTGAGACTTTCTCATAACCAACTCACAAACGGGGTTCCCGCTCAAGACTTCGCCAATATCGACGCTTCAAGAACACAGAAGAAACGACAGTGCACGATTTTGGATGACCTGCTCGAATTAGTAATATGAGCGGCCGGCCTCCACGCGGAGGCGTCTCTTGCCTGAGGCTGCCCCAAATCCCATTCACAGACGAGGGTCCCGCTCGAGACTTCTTCCAGGCCAGCGCCTCCAGAGCCCAACAGTGATCTGGCGGCTCCATCGGGAGAGGGTCGCCGCCTGAGACTTCGCCACCGGTCACTCACAGGCGAGGCTCCCGTCCGAGAGTTCCCCCAGATTTGCGCCTCAGGCAGGAGCCCAAAGTGACGACAGCTACAAGATCTGCATAGCCCGTTCGGATTGATAGCGCGATTTGGCGGCCCCATGGGGAGGGGGGGCCGCTTGAGACTCCGTCACATTTCACCCACAGACAAAGTTTTCGCTCGAGATTTTTTCTTTCCTCCAGATCAACGCATCAGGAACACAAACAGATCGACAATTTCATGATCCGGATGACCCTCTCGGATTACTACAGTGATATCTCTCACGGACGAAGTGTTTCTTTTTTTGGTTTGATATTTCTTCTGCATCCAATTCTCAGGAGCCCGACAGCGACGACAATCACATGATTTGGATGACACGGTTGGATTGCTCACGTGATCCGGCGGCCCCAGAAGGCGGGGACTCTTGCCTGACAGTTTCGTCACAGACGAGGAACCCAATCGTGACGACAATGACAGGATCTGGACCGCTCGGATTACTAACATGACCTGGCGGCCCCATAGGGTCAGGATTCCCGCCTGAGACTTCCTCACAAGTCACTGGCAGGCGAGTGTAGGTAAGTACGTTCGCGATGATGGTGGTCGTGGCGATGGTGCGAGTGTGTACGAGTGGCGTTGGTAATTATGATGTGGGGATGGTAACGAGTGTGACAGAGGGAACGAGTGTGACAGAGGGGTTTTCCCGCGCGGTGATGTCCAGAGAATAGCAATCATACTATTTAGGATGTGGGGAAACAACGTACACAGTGTTGCGCTGATTCCCAGGGGAAAAGAGAACAAAAATGCACACTGCTTCATTGCACCAGGGACCCGCTCCTTTTCGCAAGGAACTTTTAGTCATGTGTATGTTTTATCCCGGGCTCCTTCGCAAAAACTCCTTCGTCATGATGCCTTTAGTATGGGATATGTTGTAAGGATTCCCCGAGTAAGGAGCATTTGAATATGGACCTTTTTTGTAAGGACCTTCGGGTAATGATGTTTTTGGTTAAGGAATTCTTAGTACAGAGCCGTTGTGAAAAAAAATCCTAAGGAAGGATACCTGTAGTACGCCTTCATGCCTTTTCTAAGAGAGAATGTTGCGAGAAGAAGGCAGGTCATGGCAAGCCGCCTGAAGACAAATTATATGCTCGGTCCCCCCCGCCCCAGCTCTATACATAGGTTTGCCAACGTGGACCCGACACAGTGAATTCTTGCGCTGCGGATCTGAAACATGCGGATGCGAAAACATATATGTGTGTATATATGTGTGTGTTTCATACATTTTAAGCACATTGTAATTTCGGTGATCGGACTTTTAGGGTCTCCACTGTCGTGGCATCCACAAGCGTAGCCCCGCTGCACCCTCCCAGCGGACGGACAGTGGCTCATCTCGATCCCCCCGGTTCGATGCGATTCGATGTGGGCGGTCTCCGATCCTTTTTCGCCTCGCCTCCGAACTCCGCTCCGGGCTCTGGACTTTTCTCGATGGAGGCCACCACCCGCGTGCCGATTGTTCCGCCGATCCGGCTTCTCCCGGCTCGGCTGCCGATCTCCCCCGGTCCGATTTCGCTCGCTCGCCGCTCCGGCGTATCGATCCCACTCCTGGGCTCTCCTGCCCGGAGCGCCCACGAAGCGCCCGCGCGGGTGGCGACCGACCCGGCACCAGGGGACCCCCCCCCGTCCACTTGCTTGGGCCACCCGCGGGCGCGCGAAGATTATCACGCTGCGCGCGTCGCGGTCTGGGCCGGAGCGGTGGCCCTTCTCCACGGGTGCGGCGCGAGGCCGCGAAGATGTCCGCGCGTCGCGCATCGTGGGGCGCGAAGTGCGGTTACATATATATATATATGTATATATATATATATCTATATTGTTGACCCGAAGTGAGAACCCATCGTGCATGCACTGAGTGGGGAACGAACTCATGCATCGATACGCACCTGCGATCAGCAACGCCAGTTTAACAAGCATACTTACAGTAAACAGGCACGCAGATAGTAAAGACAACAAGGATAGTAAATCAACACACGTACACGACGCCTGGCGGAGTGGCAGCGCCCGCCTCCCCGATGTGCGTGCAGAGCGCCGCCGTGACGCCTTCGTGCGTTGCTCCCAGGAACTCCCCGCGTGGTCGCGACGGGTTGCGCAGGACCCGCGGGTGTCTACTGTGGCCCTTCGCGGCGCGCAAATACCGGGCCAGACGAAGGGGGGGATTGTCAGGGGCAGCGATAAGGGGTTATCGGCTCAGGGGGGGGAGCATCGACCCCCAGTCACCCATTCATCGCAGATGGGGGCCAGGTAGCCCACTCCGCCCAGGAACGTGTAGATTCCTTAGGCGTATCGCCGATCTATCGGCGATGTATCGCCGATTCCAGCTAGATGGTTCTCCCCTCCCGAGCCTGTCCCCCCCCCCTAATCGTTCCCCCTCAGGTCGGGAAAGTGGGGGTGGGGACATCTGCATGCAGCTGGTGTGCGGCCCAAGTGCCCAGGCGCTTTCCTGGATACACAGCCGTAAGCAGGCTGCATGAGCTGCTTCGCTGACGCCCCCTTCCTATCCTCTTTCCCTTTCGCCCGACCCGACAACAGGGTGGGGCGGGGCGAGAGCGGGGCGTCGTTCTCAGAAGGCAGGTCTTGGTTTGTCTGTGTTGATTTGGAAGTATCGGAGGGGTTTTTGAAGAGGCTTCTCAGAATGTGGAGAGGGCGCCTCGGAATCCCATTTGTTCTCTCAGAAGGCCACTCCCCTTGGCCCACGCCCGTGTGCGCGCCGCCAGGTTGCCGAATTGCCGCCCAGGTGTCCTGAGGAGAAGATGAAGGGGTCAGAGTGGGGGCCCAAGTGGGGGAACCTCTTGTGTGGGGGCCCAAGTAGCGGGAGGAAAGGGCTGACACTAACCGTGTTTTTCTCGTTTTCCTCCTCTTCCCCTCCTCCTCCTACTCCTCCTCTTCCTCCTCTTCCTTTTCCTCCTCCATCACGTTTCCTTATAAAAAAGAAGCCCCTTCCCTGTCGCAACCCCAGAATGTCGGCAGGGCCGGGCGTTTCGCCTAAGATTTCTTCACCATTTCTCAGATTGCAGCCTGACATTTGCAACCGTTTCGCGCATAGAGGGCGGGTCCTGTTCAGAATGTGGCTTTCGTTTTGAGCGCCTTGCACACTCGCCTCAAAAGTTTGCAGCAGCTTCGAGGGTGGAGGCCGGCCCGTTTTCAAAATGCGGCTCTCGCTTCAGCGCCGCGCACACTCGTCGCAGAAGTCTGCATCAGCTTGACGAATGGGGGGCGGCTCGTTTTCAAAATCTGATTCTCGCTCCAGCGCCGCCCACTTTCGTCTTGACGGTGTGCGGCTGCTTCAAGAATTTGTATGGTTGAAGTCCCACAAACGATGTCCTGTAACGGCTTCGGATGGTCAGGACGCACAGGTCATCCTGATTCGCGGTTTTGAAGTCCCAGGGATAGCGTTCTGGCGCGATTTAATATTGCTAGGTCGCACGAGTCACGTTGATTCGTGGCGCTGAAGTCCCAGGAATTGTGTTGTGGTATACTCGATGATTATCACACGGTTGTCTCCCAACGGGGCAGTTCCCGCAATGGATATATATATATATATATATATACATATGTACGAAGTGAGTTTCTTGTGTATGGGGCCTTCGAAGAGGGAATTTGGAGGGAGGGCTTATTTCGGGCCGAACGAAAGGGGGGATAGGGAAAGGGGGGGTACGAAATCTGCTGTACGCAGCGGACCCATTGCTCGATGCGTGGGCGCCTCCCGGCGCCGAGAGGCGCTGAGAAAAGCAGCTGCGTGAGCTGATCCTCTACCCTGCCCTTTGCTATCCCCCCCTCTCGCCCAGCCCGAGTAGGAGGAGGACTGCGTGAGGAAGAAGTAGAAGGGAGAGGGAGGGGGAGTGCCAATCTCGCTGTAGGGTACCAAGACCATCTTCATGGATGAGGTGGCCAGAGAAGTACGTAGCACCCCGCCATTGCGGATGAGAGCGAGGGGGCGGCGGTGACGTTTGCGGTCCCGCCGATTATTCCCCCCCTCTCGTTCCCCCCGATTCTTGCAGCATCGTTGATGCGCCCTGGGGTTGTACCCTGCATCCCTCCTGCGCTCCTCCTCTGCTGGGCGGCCGCGCGGCGTCGCCTCCGGCCTGGGCGCGCCCCCCGCAGGCACGCCGCCGCGGCGCGGGGAAGCCCGGCCGCGGCCGCGCTCGCGCTGCTGCAGCGGGACGTGCAGGCCAGAGGAGGAGGAGGAGGAGGAGGAGGAGGAGGAGGAGGAGGAGGAGGAGGAGGAGGAGGAGGAGGCGGAGGGGAGGGGGAGGAGGAGGGGAGGAGGAGGACGAGGAGGGAGGAGGGGAGGAGGAGGAGAGTTACGGAGGGGTGAGGAGAACGAGGTCCAGGACGAGGAGGGGGAGGGGGAGGAGGAGGACAAGGAGGACGAGGGGGTATCGGGGCGAATGCGCGGAGAGCCCGCGCGCGCATCTTCTGCGGGTGGCTGGCCGTGGCGCCCGGCCGAGGGTCACCAGCCTGAAGCAGATCTTTACCCCTTATGACTGTCAGGAGAAAAAGCACACAGACACAATTAATCGTCGAGCCCCAGGAAAATAGAGGAAATATGGGAGTTGGGGGGGAAGACGAAAACCCTGAAAATGTTGGAAAATATGGGGAATCTTTTTATTCGTGTTTTTATTTGTGTGTCCTGGGGCTCCTATGAGTGGCATCACTCATTTTCGATGCCGATCTTCAGAAGTCTCTCAATTTCTCAGGGCGCACCCCTAAGTTTATCATCGTCTTTGGGCTTGCCAGTATCGAAGATAGGGATCAGCTCGTGACCGATTAGAGGGGGAGGGGGAGGAGGGGGCAGAGAGCAGAGAAAAAGTTATGAGGAGCAGGATGAGGGAGGAGAGGTAATGAGGGTGAGGGTGAGGGTGACGGTCAGGATGACCCCGGAGCCCTGGCTCCATCCTGGGGGGAGGTGGACGAGGAGAAAGGGGAGGAAGAATAGGAGGAAGAGGAGGGGGAGTTGGAGGACGACGACGATGATGACGAGCATCAGCAACATGTTGAGGAGGAGGGCTGTCCACAAGCGAGAGTCCGAGGCCGGGATTTATTCATGTCCACCGCCTGGAAGCCGACCTTCTTGGACCGCGGCAGGCGGTGGATCTGAATATACGCGGGCCCCTTTGGGTCCCAGTGGCGAATCGAGGGTACGATGTCCAGTGGATCATATAAAGTTGCTTGCGGAAAGTCCCGCCACCGTGCCTGTGTCAGCATTCTGGGCAATGACTTTTCGAGGGGGCACAAGAGACCGTCACGTGTGACACCACGTGTCCCCAGGCTCGGGAGAGCCGTGGTTGTCATGGTGGTGGTGATGATGATGATGATGATGATGGTGATGATGTGATGATGGTGATGGTGATGCTGATGATGAAGATGATGATGGCCTTGGTGATGGTGATGATGACGACGCTGATGACGACTATGATGACGACGAAGACGATGACGATCATGATCATGATCATGATGATGATGCTGATGCTGATGCTGATGATGATGATGGCGGTGCTGGTGGTGATGATGATGCTGATAATAATGATACTGCTCATGACGATTATGACGATGATGCTGATGATGATGTTGATGATCGTGCTGCTGATGATGATGTGTGATACTGATGATGATCCTGCTGCTGATGATGATGGTGACGATGCTACTGATAATGATGCTGGTGATGGTGATGATGATGCTGATGCTGATGATGATACTGCTGATGATGATGCTGCTGGTGGTGATGCTGATAATGATGATGATGACGATGATGATGATGATGATGATGATGAGGAGGAGGAGGAGGAGGAGGATGAGGATGAGGATGAGGATGAGGATGAGGATGAGGATGATGATGCTGATGCTGATGTTGATGATGATGATTATGCTTGTGGTGGTGGTGATGATGCTGATGATGATGGTGGTGGTGATGATGATGACGGTGGTTGTGGTGGTGGTGGGGATGGTGAGGAGGAGGCAGTGGCGGAGGCGGAGGCGGAGGAGGAGCAGGAGGAGGTGGAGCAGTAGCAGGACGAGCATGAGGAGCAGAAGGAGCAGGAGGAGCAGGAGAAGATGGAAGGGGAAGGCCGTTGCATGTGATTTTTGTTTCGCCTTCATTTCTTGAGGAGTTTTCATGAAGCTCATTTGAGTTGTCTTGGGGCTGCCTTGGCCTCCTGTGGGCCCTCTTGGACCGTCTTGGGGCCTTCTTATGCCGTCTTCGGGCCTTCTTGGCCGGATGGGGGTGTATGGAAGCCGTCTTGACGCCGTTTTGGGTTGTCGAAGGGTCTTTGTAAGGCCATTTGGGGCCGTCTTGGATGCCTCTGGTCGTTGGGACCTCTTGGGCATCTCGGGGGCATCTTGGGGGCCTCTGGGCCCGTCTTGGAGACTTCTTGGGCCATCTCGAACTGACTGAAGCCCGAAAGGGCAGGCACGTGTCAAGCACCAACGGCAATACGCGATTTTGGTTTCTGCAGGCCCCGGTCGGGGTCCTCTTGTGGCCCTCTTGAAAGCCTCCTGGGCCGTCTCGAGGCCGCCTCTGGGCGCCTCGGGCGTCGAGGCGTCGTTGGCCATCTTGCGGGCCTTGGTGGCCTGCCCGTGCCTTCTTTGAAGCCCGGGAAGCGGATCCTGCCCTTCTTCGAGGAATGCCGCTGCTGCCAGAGTACGCTTTTGGACCCCGACGTGGGGTGCGTCCGTTCTTCGGAATTCTGAGGATGCCTCCAGCGAGTCGGCCCCAAATGTCGCGGACGGGATCCCATGGCTTCAATTTGTCGCCCCTGTCTTTCTATACATGAGAAGCTGTAGATGTTTGTACATCTATGTGCAACTAGAAAAATATAATTCCCATATACATATCCATACCCTCCGCCCCCTCGGGACCCAGGACATCGGTTCCCCTGACAGTGGAGATGGATAGACCCCCGCCTCGCAAAGGGCGGCCTGCGCCGGAGTGACTTGGCGGCGAGCGGAGGGGGGAAGTGAGACGGAGAAGGCCTTCTCAGAAGGCGACGGGGCTTCTCGGAAGCCCTTCGACCCTCTGAGAAGTGTTCCGTGTCCCCCGGGAGGGCGCTCAGGAGACTTCTCAGTAGGCCAACGGGCTTCCCAGCCTTCTGAGGAGGCCCGCCCCTTCTCACTTCTCCTCTGGGCTCGTCGCCCAGCGACCTTTGGTGATCGGCTCTCGGGGGGCGCGGAGGGGGGGCCCCGGGGGGGGGCGGGCAAACCCAGGCACGCGTGCAGCCACTGCCGCATCGCACGCGGCGACCTCGGCGGGCCGCGCAGCCGAAGGGCGCTCTTGGCCCAGGGCCAGTCTTGCGTGTAGCCGAGAGTATGCGAGAGGTTAACAGAGAGGGAGGAGAAGGAGGAATAGGAGCCTTCGTCGTCATCATCGTCATCATCACCATCATCGGGGATGGACAGAACCTCTACCCTGACACGTCGATTAGTGAATTGTCAGTTTTCGGTCTTCGAGAGGGTGCCGCGGCCGTCGTTCTCCAGGCTTGCGCCCGTCAGGTTTGGGCCCGGTGTCGTTTTCACTAAACCACGTTTTGCTAAAGAGGGTCTCTGTCCATCCCCGAGAATCGGCCGGATGGACGAAGATAGGGAGAAGTGAGGACGAGAAAGGACGAGGAAGGCAGAGGTGGAGCATTGCAAACATGAGAAGGAGGAAAAGGAGCCATCATCATCATCATCAACATCATCATCTGTATCATCATCATCATCATCATCATCATCATCATCATCATCATCATCAGCAGCAGCAGCAGCAGCAGCAGCAGCAGCAGCAGTATTATCAGCAGCGCCAGCATCAGTATCAGCATCAGCCTCCCTCTTCGTCGTCGCCCTCGTCCTCGCCTGTGTTCTCGTCCTCTCCCTCATTCTCCTCCACCTAAAACTGCTCTCCTCCCTCCCTCGGCCTCCTCTCCGAAGAGGAGGGGGAAGGCGACGAGGACAACGACGACGAGGACGACGGACCCCCGTACCCGCCTCGGGACTCGGAGGCGGATCCAGCAGCGTCGACGGGGAGCCTCCTCGAGGCCGCAGCAGGGCTGGACAACGCAGAAAAGCCACGATCCTAGAAGTTCGACGACGACGACGACGACGACGACGACGACGACGACGACGACGACGACGACGACGTCGATGTCGACGTCGACGTCGACGTCGACGACGACGACGACGGCCGAGATCCTCCCGCAGGGCCGCCGGAGCCGCGCGAGCCTGCTGGCGCCGGCCGCGCGGCCGGGCGCCGGGGTGAGCCACCCGCAGAAGCTGCGCGCGCGGGCTCTCCGCGCGCATTTCGCGCCGATGCCCCCTCGTCCTCCTTGGCCTCCTCCTCCTCCCCCCTCGCCCTCCTCGTCCTGGACCTCGTCCTCCTCCCCCCTCCCTCCCTCCTCTCTCCCTCCTCCCTCCTCCTCACGGCCCTCTCCCTCCGCCTCCATCTCCTCCTTCCTCCTCCTCTCCTGTCCCTGCCCCTCGTCCCACCTCCTCCTCCTCCCCTCGCGGACTCCCCCATCCTCCTCCATCTCCTCCGCACCTTCCCCCCTCCCTGGGACCCCTAGAGCCCTCAAGAGTCTGGCTAATTGTTTCAATCTAAAGAGTCTGCTTCAACTCCGTGGTTGTTCAAGATTTGTGTTTCGTTGCAACGCTTGCCAGGGCAATAATATGGGCGCACCTGCTCTTGCTTTTTATCCCCATCACGCGTGATGCTGAATGTAAGCAGTTTTGTTTATTACTTCCCAACGCGCTGTGCGCTCCTACCTCCACTTCCCACCGACTACGCTACCGAATGATTCGGACGAGAATTTCATGTGCCAGGTGTTTCTGTGGACAATCACGCTTGGACCTGTCTGATTCTTGCCCAACGCCTGTTCCGACACCAGCTTCCATGCTTTTGTCGTTCGTGTCTTGCGCACGCCCTCCTTATATGTTCTGTGGTCCTACTCTGCGGCGCCTGCTCCGACCCCTGGTCCTGCACAGTATCGATCAATTGGGTGTGTGTGAGAGTTGGCCACAGACTTGCCGAAACGTGGAGGCATTGCGGTGGTGTGTCCTGATTGAGACAACACCTGTTTGTCATTTCCTACCCACTTCGGCACTTCGTGCTTAATGTTTTTCTAGCTCTATGCTTCGTTGCGACGCGGCTGGAGGAGGAGGAGGCTCGAGGAGAGATAAGAGGAGGAGAAGGACGATTGTGAAGAGGAGGAGGAAGAGGAAGGGGAGGAGGAGGAGGAGGAGGAGGAGGAGGCGGAGGAGGAGCGAGTACCCCCCCTCCTCCCCCACTCTCGCCAAGGCTCGCGCGGCCGCGGCGAACGCGCAGGCCTCGGACGTGGCGGACACGTGAGGCATCGGCGCTTGTGCAAGCCCGACGCTGTGGTCTGCGCGGTCTGGCCTGAAACGAAGACGACGACGACAACGACGACGACGATTCTTGGGAGGTACGTCGGCAAATATCTCGACGTGTCCTCGTAGTCGTCGTTGTCGCCGACGACGTCGACGACGAGGTCGCCGTGTCGCCGACGACGTGTCGCCACCGTTCGACGTCGTCGTGGTCTCCGGCGTCGTCGTCGCCAGAGTCGCTGTCGGCTGTACAGCTGCGGCTGGATGGGCCGGCTGACGCCAGCAGCGGGCGGTCGCAGGATTCAGCCACGCGCAGAGGGGGGTGGGGGGAGGGGGGAGGGCTTCTTAGAAGCACCCCTGCTTCTTAGAAGGCGCGGGCCTTATCTATAGATGTAAGGCCGGCGCCTTCTGAGAAGCAGCCTGCTTCTAAGAAGCCCTCCCCCTCCCCC